CAGAATCTGCACGAAATGCGGCTCTCCAGTAGCCTGGGATGCAGATGAGAGCGGCAACTGGTACTGCGAGCTTGGACTCGAATGAACCTCGGCGGTCAAGCGTTCGTCCTGAGCGAGTTCGTGGGTGGTGGACGCCGCAATTTTCACACTGCGTTCGTACACATCTAGCCAGCAGGATTCGCCAGCGTCAGCCCAGTCCGGCTGGATCTGCATGTACATCTGCGCGTCCACCGCCGACGTCTCCGCGACTTCTTTCATAATTGTTTTGTAAAATTCGATTTTTTTTGTTCTAAAAGCAATTTTCATTAAATAAAAAGGAATTATCGCGTCGCGCCTCCACCGCATTTCATGTTAAAATTGCTATTAAAGTGTGGGGTAGCCTCCACCGCCTCCACCACATTTCAGTGGAATGCGCGTAAAAGTTTGTGGAATCAAGTGAAATATTTCGAAAGGTCGCGATCTAGCGTTAATAAGATCAGTTTTAGGTTGTCAACGAGAGCTGCGCAATGGAGAGCGACTCGTCCACTACATCTTCTTCATCTAGTGACGTGGTTGCGCCCATATCGAAGCCGATGGCTGGACTGGTCGCGTCGTATTTGTTGCGGTCGATAGACTGGAAGAGCAAGCGCGTTGAAACAGAAGCAAAAGTCCACGATTCAGTGGGCAATACAGAAGACAGTGACAATATGGAGAGGCAAGAGCTACGAGATGCGGATAACGACGTGCCGGTAGAAGTGGAGGCTGAGCCAGACGCCTCTGTCGCCGTAGAGGATGAGATTTCAGAGGAGAGAACGGAGATTATTAGTGACAAGGAGTTTGAGGTGACGTATCAATGTCTCCCGGATGTGGAGGCTATTGGAGATGATGCAGTTGGAGAACTGAGTGGGCGACGGTCAATGCAATATCTGGACGTGTTGTTGCAGACTGATGAGCACGGGGTGGGACTGAATATGGGGGTGGAGAGAGTGGGGGAAGGACAAGTGCTGGTGGTACAGTCGTTCCGGAGGCTGAGTCAAAAGGATGTTGGACCAGCGGAGGCTTGTGGGAAGATTCGGGTGAGGGATGTTTTACATGCGGTGGATGGAGAAGAAGTGTGTTCACTTCAGCAGTTGCATACAAAGCTAGCAGAGAGACTGCGGAAGAGTCGGAAGTTCGTGCTGCTGCGCTTCCTTCGGCCTTTGCTTGGAGATTCTGATGCGATTGAGACGTCAATTTTTGATAGAAGAGTCAGCGTTGCTGATGGCAATGAAACAAGTTGGTCGGAGGTTGAGACGCTGCTTCATAGTAACCCAGTAATCGCTGCTCTTGTTCGTCAATTAGCCACTACGAACAAACTTCTCCAGGACCAACTACTAGCCAGTCGACTAAAACAGGAGGAGCAGAGTATCCAACTTGATCAACTTCATGCGCTGTATGCACGAACACAAGCCGAAGGTTTGCCACTTTTTTCACTGTCCAAGTCTATCCGTCCATTTTCACGTAAACCTGGCGCTACTATTGGTGACGGAGTGGAGAACCCCACTCCCAACAAGATTCAAACAGAACTTATCGAAGCTGTGGACGCAGAGTATACGCGACTAAGACAAGAGTTTCAACTGCAGTACACGCTCGATAAGCGTGAGTTGGAGCGTAAGTACACAGAAAAAGCCCAGAAGATGGAGGAGGCTACGAAAAAGAAAGTTGAGATGCTGCAGCAAGGCTTTCGACACGCACTTAATCACTACGCTGCGGATCACTGCGCGTGTCATTGCAATGCGTATACAGCATCTGATTACCCGAATCAAACAGACAAATGCAGTGCAAGTTTCAAAGACTCGGGGGAGCAAACATTTCGACAGATTCTGGATCTGCTTACAAAGTATGACGAGCTGAAGTTTAACCGGATTGCAAAACTTCAGGCACTCGACTCTGTTACAGATTCTCGTCTAAATGTAAGCAAATGAGAAAGTCACATTAACGACCGAAATGTTTCAGCCACTCGAGCATTTCGTCGGTGTCGTAATAACGAACATCTTTGCCACCAAAGGTTACTTTTGTAACTTCGGAGACCCTGGGCGGATTGGCATGGTTGATATACTCGAGAAGGAGTTTTAAGTTAACCTTACTACGAGACACCTTGAGCTTCTGCGCGATCTCCCCCACGCTGAGCCCCTCCTGCTGCCACTTGCCAAACATTTCGAGCTTGAACGCTCTATCATCTCTCATCTTCGATATGATTTTCGACGCAAAAATGTTTTCCTCCAAGCCGAGAATTTGCCTAAGGCTGATCGTTCTCACTTCGTCGAGATCTTTGTCGCCTTTTGTCTCCGTAGTAGCACCGTGAGCTCGAAGAAACCTTGTGGTTTGGATTTCCCCAGAGACGTTGGCCGCAAGGAGCGCTCCCCAAGATGCACATGTAGCGCAGACGCATGATTGGCGAAACTCCAGCCTGCTTTGTGTTTATTAATTAAAGTATTGCGAAGCTCTCCAGCATGACTGCTGAAATAAATCGCTGAGAGGCCGACTACAGTAAAATACCTCATCGTTGCAGATTACTGGGATGAATTGGCCTGAGGCGTGGAGTGATCGCGATCACTGATCGTGAACAAGCCACAGCAACAGAATAGCTACATTGATGTTTGCTACTTTCATTATGTGTAGCACATCACATATGCTCGGCATACTGTAGTCTCAATTTACTGCAATGGGCCTACGCGGCCTCGTGGACTCGCCAATGGACCAGAGCGAGAACCTGGAGCTGCTCGCTCGCATCGAGCGCCAACTACGTGTGAATCCTGTTAGCGGCAACA